AGAGCGGCTTACAAACTCCTTTCCCTTCCCCTCCCCAAAACAGACACCCTGGGAGGTAGAAGAAAATGAAGAGAAGAGACTGGATTTATACCCCGCCCTTCACTACCCAAAGGTGTCTCAGAGTGGCTTAAAAACTCCTTTCCCTTCCCCTCTCCACAACAGACACCCTGTGAGGTAGAAGAAGAAGAAGAGAAGAGACTGGATTTATACCCCCGCCCTTCACTACCCAAAGGTGTTTCAGAGCGGCTTACAAACTCCTTTCCCTTCCCCTCCCCACAACAGACACCCTGGGAGGTAGAAGAAGAAGAGATTGGATTCATACCCTCGCCCTTCACTACCCAAAGGGGTCTCAGAGTGGCTTACAAACTCCTTTCCCTCCCCTTCCCCACAACAGACACCCTGTGTGGTAGAAGAAGAAGAAGAAGACATTGGATTTATACCCCGCCCTTCACTACCCAAAGGTGTCTCAGAGTGGCTTACAAACTCCTTTCCCTCCCCCTCCCCACAACAGACACCCTGTGAGGTAGAAGAAGAAGAAGATTGGATTTATACCCTGCCCTTCACTACCCAAAGGTGTCTCAGAGTGGCTTACAAACTCCTTTCCCTCCCCCTCCCCACGACAGACGCCCTGTGAGGTAGGTGGGGCTGAGAGAGCTCTTGAGAGAAACTGCTCTTTTTCAAGAACAGCTCTTATCAGAACTAGGGCTTGCCAAAGGTCACATCAGCAGGTGCGAGGAGTGGGGAATCAAACTCGGTTCTCCCGGATTAAAGTCCGCGCACTTCACCACGATACCAAACTGGCTCCTCGTAAGACTTATTTTTGCAAGCCCTTCCTTGAATTTGTGCTGGCTTGGGGGCTCTGCTTGGAATATCCCCAAGCAGGTGTTGTAAAAAGGTAAACAGAGGGTCAGAGGATGAGGGACCGGCCACTGCTCTCTTCTGTGACATCCCACTACTGGACTCATCCCGCAACAGCAATTCCTGCTTTCAGCTTATATCGATGAAATGAAAGGTGGCGCCATACCGAGAGAGGTTGGATCCCCACAGATCTCCGCCATGAATTCCGAACGCAGAGCCCTTTGGCCACGATCCACCATAGCCCCCTCCTCCTCCTCTGAGAAACACAAGAGACGTGTCTCGGAAAGTCACCAAACCCTGGAAGAAGGAGGAAACCTTTTTCAACTCAATGATAGAACAACCGTCCACAAATGGAGTGAAGGAAGAAGGGATGGCAGCCAATGTTCCCTCTAAGCTATGGAATCCTGTGAGCAAAAATCCTACTTTGTGAGCTACTGGCATTAAAGCTGAGAGCGAGCGATTGGGCTGCTGCATAAAATATTTTGCTCTGGAGCCACATCCTTCCTGAGCTAAGACAAAGATGTGTGAGCTGGAGGCTAAAAAACTGTGAGCTGGCTCACACGAACTCAGCTTAGAGGGAACGCTGATGGCGACTTCTGTGGACGGATCCCAAAGTTCCAACAGGGCACTCAAAGTCTTCTTTTGTTAGGCTGCCCTTAAAAGACAACTCGGAATGGTCAGCCAGTGCAGACACAATGCAAAAACAAATAGAGCAACACCTGACATACCACAAAGAATGCAAAAATCAGTCTAGAGAAGTTATTTCTTTCTAGGGTTGTTCCGGTGTAGGCCCTGGAACAGTTTAGTGTAGTGGTTAGGAGCACAGACTCTAACCGGGTTTGATTCCCCAGGCCTCCATGTGCAGCTGCTGGTGTAACCTTGGGTCAGTCATAAGTCCTTTCAGAGCTTGTAATGATGTCAACTTATATGTGTGTGTTTCTTTAAAATGGTTGGTAAGTGTCAGAAGAACAAGGGGGTGAAAGGTGGAGAAGACGGAGAGAGGTGATTGGTTGGTGACTGAGACTGTGTGGGCGGAGCTAGGAGGTAGGTAAGGGTGTGTGTGTGTGTGTATATATATAAAGGCCCCTGCCACACGGGGGAAAAAGCACTGGCAAAGTGTGGCTTTTTAAAGCCAAACCAAAAGAGACACGCGGCGGCAGGATCACATAGATCCCCTGAGCCGCCGCGCACTTCCTCCCCGGCACGATCAGATGCTGGGGGGAAGCCACTGAAAGGGGAGCGAGGCAGCCGAACTGCGCATGTGTGCACATGCGCAGTTCGGCCGGGAGCCTGGATTGCTCCAGACAACGGCCGCGGCGACGATCCCACAGCCGCGCTTGATGCGGCGTTCCCGATAAGTCCTCCTCTGGGGGTGGTTCTTTTTTACTGCGGGTTTTCGGCCTGAAGGGCCGGATTGGGGACGGGTGTGCGCCACTTCCCAGATGTTGCGGTGAGATCGCGCCCGTTTGCTGTGCCCCTGATCCGTCCCTCTCCCAGGCCAAAACCTTCCATGTGACCAGGGCCAGAGGGGGGGGGGAGGCAGAGTGTTTAGTCTGAAGCCAGAAGTCAGTAGCTGTCAGTTGTGGTGCCTCTACACAGAGACTGAGAAGTAGTCTTCTAACTAGAATCATACAGAACTACTGTGAAAAACAGTAAGATTCTAAAGGAGGAAGAAAATATACTTAAGGGGGCATATTAGGAAAAATCTAATACAGTCAGAGGGGGAAAGCTGACAGAGACCTGAGTAAAAAAGAGAAAGATTTTACTGAGCAGCATAATGAAACATCTTGTAACCAATACGCTTCTTTTGCCAATAAAGTTTTATCTTGTTTATTGTTAACCCAGAGTCTTGTCCTCAGAACCACATAGTCCAACGAAGGAGCCTTCGAGCTGGGGCACAATACTGCGGGAAAGGTTAATTAAGGACTGGAATTAAATTCCTGGTGGCAGCGATAGATAACTTTGAGTGAGAGAAAGAAACAAGAAGAAATTTAAAACTGCATCACACCTAACCACACAAAATAAGAGAGAGGGGCCGTCACAGAGCTCTTCTCTCAAGGGCAGTTCTCGAGAGAGCTCTCTCGCCCGCCCCCCACCTCACAGGGTGTCTGTTGTGGGGAGGGGGAAGGAAAAGGGATTGTAAACTGCTCTGAGACTCCTTTGGGTATTGAAGGGCGGGGTATGAATCCAGTCTCCTCTTCTTCTTCTACCTCACATGGTGTCTGTTGTGGGGAGGGGAAGGGGAAGGAGTTTGTAAGCCGCTCTGAGACTCCCTTGGGTAGTGAAGGGCGGGGTATAAATCCAATCTCTTCCTTTTCTTCTTCTCCTCCTCCTCCTCCCTGGGGAGTGTATGTGTACATGTGGGGGTGAGCCTTTGGCCTTCAGAACCCATCCCCCAAGACCATGGGTGAGAGATATTTCACAGGTGCATGTTCTTAGCCAGTTTGGTGTTGTGGTTAAGTGCGCTGGGAGAACCAGGTTTGATTCCCCACTCCTCCACTTGCACCTGGCTGGATGACCTTGGGCAAGCCATAGTTCTGATAAGAGCTGTCGAAAAAGAGCCGTTTCTGTCAAGAGCTCTCTCAGCCCCACCTACCTCACAGGGTGTCTGTTGTGGGGAGGAGGAGGGAAAGGAGTTTGTAAGCCGCTCTAAGACTCCTTTGGGTAGTGAAGGGCGGGGTATAAATCCAATCTCTTCTTCTTCTTCTTCTTAGCATGTAATTTTTCAGCTGAAATGGATAAGAATGAGGGAGGATAGCAACAGGAATAAGTTTGCAATCTTTTTCAACTCTTTTAAAAATGGATAAAGCAAAGGAAAGGGGGAAACAGACAAATGGCAAAAAAAAACCCAACCTGTGCAAATACGGGGTCTGGAGAACTCCTATACAAGGAACTTGATGGCGTATAAAAATCACCGACCTGTCTGGGGACTAGGCCACGAAAGGAAAAATCAAATAATTCCTAGCGGAGCCATCCCAGTTGTGGGAAACGTATCCTTGCCTGGGATTGCCCAAAGAAAGAAAACCCAGAAGAAAGAGAAAAGATTGTGCCGAGAGACAGGCAAAGAGGAGGAGGAGGAAGATGGAGTTCTACTTCCCAGTAGTTATGTATGGCTGCGAGAGCTGGACTATAAGGAAGGCCGAGCGCCGAAGAATAGATTCTTTTGAACTAGGGTGCTGGAGAAGACTCTTGAGAGTCCCTTGGACTGCAAGAAGATCAAATCAGTCAATCCTAAAAGAAATCAACCCTGACTGTTCCCTGGAAGGCCAGATCCTGAAGCTGAAGCTCAAGTACTTTGGCCACCCAATGAGAAGGGAGCACTCCCTGGAGAAGACCCTGATGCTGGGAAAGATTGAAGGTCAAAGAAGACGGGGACGGCAAAGGATGAGATGGTTAGACAGTGTTATAGATGCAACAAACATGAAATTGAGCCAACTTCAGAGGACGGCGGAAGACAGGAGGGCCTGGCGTGATCTTGTCCATGGGGTCGCGAAGAGTTGGGCTCAACTGTGCAACTGAACAGCAACAACAAATGAATCCCTGGGAAGGGGGAGAGAGCATGGGGAGGCCGTGATTTGGAAAGCTGGATTAGTTAAAAAAAAAAAAGAGGGAAGGGAAGAAAGGAAGGAGAGAGAAGGTGCCAAAGGCAGAATGGGGAAAATGGTGGTCATACCCAGCCAGCTCCTTGAAGGAAGAAGTCTTTTCTTTCTTATCCAGCGTGGAAGAAAGCCCAGGGGAAGCACAGTTTCAAAAGGGTCGGGCTTTTACCCCCCTTTCAAGCAATGCAACAGGACGAGGAGTACAGAATTCTGAAACAAACATAGAATAGTGGATGTGAGACAGAGCACAGACGTAACACAGAAAGACGGCTTTACATCAGCAGAAGATAACACAGCTGCAGCAGGAGAACCCACACAGCAGATGGAAAAGGCCTTCGCTGCACAGCCCGCAGTTGCTTCCCCTTTATTAACGTGCCTTCCTGAACCTTTAGAGCAATGCCCTCTTGAACAATCCTGTGGCCTGTGGAATGACAGGAGTGTGGGAACCTTTGCAACCTCCAGAGAGTGCTTAAAATATGGAATTCGCTGCAAGAAGGAGGAGGAGGAGGAGGAG